AGAAAGAAAGAAAGAAAGAAAGAAAGAAAGAAAGAAAGAAAGAAAGAAAGAAAGAAAGAAAGAAAGAAAAAGAAAAGAAAAGAGATAAAAGAAAAGAAAAGAAAAGGAAAGAAAGGAAAGAAAGAAATCAGGGGTTGTTGAGTATGGATTCCCCGTAAGAAGGGACAGGAAAGGAGACTCTGATCATTTCCATTCTGCTCTGGGTCAGAGTCAGAGATGAGCGACATGCCACGCTGCCCTCTCCGGCTATCCTGTGGGGTTCCCTCAGAGGCAGCATGTCCTGCTCGCATATGTCCTCTGTCCCTACACCAACTCACCTTTCTCCTGGACAGACCGGATTTCGATCAGAAGCTACAGGACAGACATTAGCATGTCAGACTTTGAGAACTCCAGAGATTTTGGTGCCAATGACAACATGGGAGTCTCGCCAGTCACTCAGGAGACAACTCTCGGAGGAAAAGATGGTATGTCCCTCACTCAAGGGAATGCCCAATCCCCCTGGGAGAGCAAGAATTAGACCTGCCTCTGCCTCTGGGGTGGGAGTATAAGGCCAGTGAAGGCTAATCCCCCCACCTTGCTCCTCCCACAGAGTGCAGCACCACCACCGAGAACACCGTGGAGACTGAGGAACCCAAGAAGGCAAAACGGGTAAGAGAGAGGAGGGAGAGGGAGGCCTCACTTGTGTGACAGGAAGTGCAGCACGAGGGACTGCAGTTAAGCCTCAGGAGAAACCACCTCAGTGTGGGAGCTGATGTCAGACTAGGGAAGGTAATGAAAATAGTATTCAGGAGAACTTTTTGAGGGCAAGATGTGTATTACTGGTTGTGGTGTTGATGTGGCTGAGGCAGAGGCAGGAGGTAAGCTGAGAACATGCCAGAGGGAGGGAGGCCGAGAGATAAGAAGGAAGTGCATAAAAGCTGCAGACACAGTGTGGGAAAGGTCGAATGTCAAATGCCAGTGATTAGGTGGATCCTTTTCCTGGGCTGTGGAACCTGTGGACATCAGGCCACCCAGCCTCCCTTGAGAGTTTGCTCAGGACCAGCCTTCTGCTTGGGTCTGAAAGACATTTGCTGATAATGGGCACTTTGGTAGTCACCAGAAGCCAATCCCCACCCCAACCAAGTGCCACATTGCTTACAATCCTACCAGAGGTGACTCCTGACTCTGCGTCACATAATACCCTTCTCCCATGCCCTGTGCCTCCTTAAGCCAGGGTTTTAATGCTTGCTATCCTATCTACTCTCCCTGGAAGCAGCAGAGACCCCGAATCTGGAACAAGTAGGGGAGGAAGCTTGTTCTGGAGACGGCCTTCCCCTCTAGCTCTGTGTCGTGGCTGAGCTCCATCTCTGAGCAGGTAGCGAAAGAAAAATGTGAACCACTGTGGCTGACACCAGTCTAGACCACCTTGCCCTTCGACTGTGTGGGCAGCTCTTCCGGGGACAGGCCCAAGCTTCAGAGCTGGTTCCACTCCACCTGTCAGAAGGCGGTAGTGAGACAGAGGGAGATATTTTTAGAAACTGCAACTTTCCGCTTCTCAAAATTAGTCCTTGGTGAGCATGGGGAGCTAGAATAGGAGCAGCAGGTCAACACAGGCTTGGGTTGCTTAGGCCAAGATTATGAATTCAGGATATTAGAGCCTACCCTCCCTCCACCCCCCACCCGCTGAGCCAGTGCCCCAAACACTGATTCCTGTCCTGTTGCCCCCTTAGTCCTCCAAGGAGGAAGCCGACATGGCCTACACCGCCTTCTTGCTCCAGACCAACAACATGGCTGCCGAAGTCCAGGAGGGCCCTGGGGAAGCCTAGGTGCCAGGCGCTCTCTCCTCTCCCACCACTCATGACAATCGCCTTCAGAATCATAGTGATCCTCAGGGGACCTCAGCTCCAGGGGGCTTTACTGCGTGCACTCACACCCCACTTTCCTACCTGTGCTCAGAGGGTTTATTGGTCCCTCCTCAGTGGTATCCAAGCCCGGCCTGACTGTTCCTGGTGCAGTTGAGGGGCCAAGCGGGGTTCTGTCTGCAGCTTATTTTAATGAGAGAGCCCAACATGTAGAAGGAGAATTAAAATCTTAGAGGCACCTCTCAGAAAGAAGAGAGATCACGTGGGTGGGAAGATAATTTCAGAAAGAAGGCTTTTCCACACCCTTCTAATGGGATCCTCACTGGGGTTCTCCACTCCACTCCACCCTCCCTTCTCTGCATCGCTCCCTTACATCTCCTCTTCTTTCCTTCATTGGAAATACATATTTGGATACTCACTAGCACCAAGGCATTCTTCTAGACACAGACAGAGAGGCTGCAGACCCAGCCAGCAGCCTTTTTGGAAACATCCCTCAATCCTTGGAAGCTGCAGCTCCTCTCAGCATAGTTATACTTGCCAAGACCCGAAATCCTCATCAGGGACACTTACCTCCACCCATAGTGGGAGAAATCATAAACTGTCTGGAGTCCTAGGGCCTGAGGGATCATGTAACATGGGCATATATACAAGGAATCATAAACACACATGCTAACCATTTCAGAGGAGAGAAAATTGAGGTCCTGAGAGGCAAAGAGGTTTGCTCAAGGGTGCCACGTAGCATAAACTAGTGTCAAGATGCGGGGTGGCGTCTTGTGTCTTCTTGGCCAGGAATCTCTCTATAAAAAAGCCCCTGCACTCCTGATGGAGGCAGAGTTCTAGAATAAGGAGGAGGAGGAGGAAGAGAAAAACATAATAGGGACTGGTCTTTCACAAGCCCCACCTCAGGGAAGAGGACTCTTTCCCTTTCTGTCACTCAGAGGGACACAAGGGGATAAAAGAGCGGTCAAACACTGGTAAGCCACTTACTTGAAGAGTTCCCAACCAAAGGGAAGTAAAGATGGTGTTTGATGATGCCAGGGAGGGGCTGATCTCCAAAGAGCTAAGGTTTAAGGTCATTTTCCCTCTGAGCTCTGTACTTCAACCAGCACCTACCAGCTGACACTCGCTTACAAATCAAAAATGTGACTTCGTTAATAATTAAAGACCATGATTGCCACCAACGAGGCTCAGACTGCATTTGTGCCCATACCTTCTGTTTCCCAGACAGCCCTTTCAGAGTGTTTTGCTTTGGTCCCACTCTCAGGTACTCCAGGGTGTGGGCCCAAGCCAAAGTCCCCCCCCGCCATCTCCAATGCTGGGCTGAGAGGGGGCTAGCAGACTGCCTACAAGTGAGACCAAGATGATCTTCAGTAAAAGAATAGTTAGGGGTGTACACCAATGGTCAAGATCCCAAAGCTCTGTGTCACAGAACATAATTAGAACTATTTGTAATGGAATAAACTGAAAGCAAGTATAACTGCAATCCTCTTTGGCATTAAAAAAAAATCTTGGTTAAGCATCCTTGGAATACTTGACCTTGAATTTCATACCTTCCTGGGGCATCCTCCCAGATGGAGAGGCTATTAATCAAAAATCAAGTAACGAGTAAACTCCCTCCATAGAAATATGAACCAGAAGCTAGTTAAATGATAACGTAGCTTTTAGAATAGTTGACCCAAAGTGTCCTGGGGGACAGCAATTAGATAAAGGACCTCCTTGTCCACCAAGGCCATTTCTAGGTTCTGGCACTAAACCTTGTCATGGCCTATAAGCCCCCAGCCCACGCCAGACTCATCCTCGCGGCCTCTGTCTATGAGAGTTCTCTCTGGGGGAAAGTTCTTCCCAGGTTTCTATCCTGCCCGATATGGGGCAGAACCTTTGCTTCCATATGGACCTTGAACATACAGCTTCCGATACTTCATGCTTCGAAGTTTGCCCCTGACAAGACTTAGATTTCAGTCCTCCTTGATCTCCCCTCCTGCTCTACCAACTGCAGTGTCCAGGCTTGATTCCCAGACCATGAACTAGGTCAGAGCCTTGGGCTTCACCCTGGTCCAGAGAGGTGGTCATCAGGAATGATGGCCCATCATTCCAGAAGAACCCAAACTACAAGATCCATCAGAACCTATCACTGTTTTCCCCCTGGAAGCTGATCCCTGACCTCCAAAGCATTATTTGTAGGTCAGAAGGATTAAGATGCAGCTTCTATATCAATGCCAATAACCCACAAGCCAATCCTGACCTCAGACAGCCTGTCTTGGTCCCTAGAATCAAAGGCTAAGAAATGCCACTAAACAATTGCCATAGACAACCTTACATTATTCTTAATTGATATTATAAATAAGTGATACCAGGTATAATAATGTACTACCCAAAGTCCACCTTAAATTTTTATAATGAGTAAGGAAGCTGGGCTGTAGCTGAAATGGGATATCTAATAAGTTAAAGACTCACCAGTTTGGGAGAGTATATTAATTTCCTAGGGCCACTGTAACGAAGTACCATAAACTAGGTGGCTTAAAATAACCATAATTTAGTCTCTCACCATTCTGGAGGTTTGAAGTCTGAAATCAAGATGTCCACAGGGTTGGTTCCTTGGGGAAGCTGTGAGGGGGAATCTCTGAGGGGGTTGTGCCTCTCCCCTCGCTGCCGGGGGCTGCCCGTAACCCTCGGTGGTCTCTGGCTCATAGCTGCACCGCTCCAACCTCTGCGCTATCCTCCCTTGAACTTCTCCCACTGTGTCTCTCTGCGTCTTCACATGGCCTTCCTACAAGGACACTTGCCATTGGACTTAGGGTCCACCCAGATCCAGTGTGGCCTCATCTTAATGAATTCCATACAGCAAAGTGCCCGTTTCTAAATAAGGTCATATTCTGAGGTTTCAGGTGGACATAAATTTTGGAGGGACACTAGTCAGCCCAGTACTGGGGAGTAACAATCAACTGTGGGATTAATGATAAACCAAATAGCAATGATCAGTGTCCAGCAGTCACTCAGAGAACTACTTAAATATTTCCGATGACAAAAGAATCTTGTCAAGTCCTTGAGTTATCTTGATTTTTTTTCTTTTAAACAATCTATTATGTAATAACGATTACATAGTACTAAGGCCCAATAGTAGCTGAGAATCTGCTTATAGCAGTTGATTTTGGTGTGTAAAGATATATATCTATATCTATATCATCTATATCTATATCTATCTATCTATCTATCATCTATAGATATACAGTTTATCCAAGACTTTCCCAAGAGTCAGGACAGAACATTTCTCCTAAGAACAGTAGACCCCAGAGAGGAGCTGACTGTGGTAAGGTCTTGAAGCTGGTCCCCAAGGCAGAGAAACAAGGACTGTGCCCCTGACCCCACAAGCTTCTCTGAAATGATGAACTCTACCAGGGAGTCTATACAATAAAAATAATAAGAGATCACCTCAGAAAGACCACATATCTAAGTAGACAGGGGGTACACCATGAGAGGAGATGTAACACTGAGACTGGTGGCCCCCAGTTGGCCAGGGAGCTGAAACAGGAGGGGAAGGAAGATGGTCTTGTAAGACTCCAGGAGTTTCATGGGCTTGGTAAGCCCCTCCTAAGTCTGATAAAGAAATGGGCAGCCAATCCACCCTCTCTAGAGTCAAAGTGTGTGGAGGTGAATACTCTAAATTCCAGATTTTTGCTCATAAGTTATATTAAAATTCATGAAAAATTCTACATATTCGGGTTCTAATCTTAGAATGCCAACAAAAGTATAGCCCTATTCAGGTAAGACGTCTTACCATCTCTTGTAGCAGAAAGCCACAAGTAGGCTTATAGTAAAGGTTAACCTTCCCAAAGCCCCGTTCCTGTGGAGTGGCTCACTCCAGGATAGGCAAGCCTGTGGTCCAAGTTCTTAGAAAGTGGGAACCTCAGGATACCTGAGCCAGGTATCTCTACCTGAAGTGGGCTCCCCAGTGAGTCCAGCAGGTGGGGGGATTCTCATGGTCCGTCTTTGGGGAGAGCAGTGCTGGGTCATGGGGAGGGCCACCTAGGATCTTAGCTCTTGGTCTGGAAAGGCCCAGGAGATGGCTGTTTGGAGACGGGTGACATGGGAGGTCAAAGTAGGGTGATGGATGCTATAACCAAGCACAACCCATAAGGACTTCCACCTTAATGGCAAGGGCTAATCTCCACTGCACTTATATTATATTCCAGGCATCGTGCTAAATCCTTTGTAATGCTTACCTCGGGCAATCCTCACAACCACCTTATGAGAAATATCTCTCTTATCACATCTGTAATTTAGGGAGGATAATATAAACCTAAGTTATTATGGGGACTAAGTGAATTTTCCCGAAGACTTAGAGCAGTTCCCGGTGTACTTGGTATTATTTATTCTGTCCACCTGCCTGTCATGAGACTCAGAATTTTTTCCATGGGGTTCATCCCTCTGGTCAAGCACTGGCGCCGGAGGATGTTAGGCCATGGAGTCCCCTGCACGTCAAGTGGGCTTCAGCTTCTCACCCCTGCTCCCGGGAGTGGGAGCTCCAGGACACTGCGCTGCCCTTAGAGGCAGAAAGGAGAGAGAAAATGTAGATGGGGAAAACAAGAGAGGGAGAAGAGCATGAAGACAGTAAACTTCTCCCAATTTGAGTTTAGCCAGGGTTCGGCCTTCCCCCGAGACCCTGGGGCAACATCTGGAAGTAGAGACCTGATGGCCCAGGTCTGGGAACTTTGATTTCTCAGGCTCCAAACATTCCCTTCCTGCCCGGCCATCGTGAGACACCTAGTTCTTGCTCTTCACAACCCCAACGTGATGTCTCTAAGGGTTTTATCTGGGCCACACATGATGTGACAATCTCTCATCCCACACATGCCCAGGCATTGGGCCCCGGCACAGCACATCCAACCCGCATCTTCCTAGACACACACATTCACACAGGCAGCATGTTCACACCCACCCACCACACACCCTGCACTCATTTGCACACTCACAGCCATATGCCACACATTCACACATCACATCACACACATTCACACACTCAGCCACACATCACATAATCACACCTCACATGCCACACACATCATACACTCACACACTAACATGTCACACATGACACGTTCCCGTGCCATTCCTCACACTGTCCCACATGGCGTGTACTTCACACACAGTCACACATCACAGTCATCTATCACTCATCACTCATATGCTGCACACCCACATTTACACACTCACCACCACTCACACACTACACATTCACACACACACACTCTCATGCCCACTGTCACACACACATGTCACATTCACTCATTTATTCTCTCTCTCTCCAAGCCAGTCCCAGGCCTTGAGCCCAGCAAATGGCAGAGCCCCAGAGAGGGACAGCTGTGGGGAATTGGGAAGAGCCCTCCAAGTAGGGAAGGGTGGCAGCTGACCAGAACCAAGACCTCTGGTGGTCACTCACTCTAACCACAGGCCTCAGGCCTGTCCTCTGCCACCTTGGCCCAGTTCGTGGTTGGAGGAAATCAGAACCACAGCAGTTCAGTGCTGGTGGAAACCCAGGCAGGGGTGGGCAGGGCAGGCTGCCCGCCCACACACATTTCCTCTGCACCTGCTCTGGGCCTGCATGCGACTTCCAGTGCGGATGTTGTCTTTTTGTGTTTTGGAGAGCATGTGACAAACCTGGTGTGTGGGGGCCAGTGGGGAGCAGTGTGCGCAGGATCACCGACAAGCCTTCCCAGAAAGGGGGTGGAAATAGCCTCAGGCCTCCGTGGGCTCTAGAGGCTGCAGTGCCTGGAGGTGGGGATGCTGGGAAGCCACCTAAAAGGTAACCATCAGGAATGAAGCCCTGGGGATCCCCTCCTAAGGAACAGCCCCTGGCATCTCCACAACAAAATGCTCTTCAACCACCTCTATGACCATGGCTTCTGCTGGGCCTCATGAAAAACCTGTGACGTACGCAGGGCAGGAACTATTCCTCTTTATCAATGAGAAAACTGAGGCCCTAGGCAAGCACCAAGCCAGGACCAGAACCCACATCTTCTGACTGGATCCCAAAGCTCTTTCTGTGATACCTCATGACTGAGGGCCTCAGGCATTTCTCTATTCTCCATCAGTCGCTGGACCTCCCCCCATGGTCCCTTGGGGGCTTGAAGGCTAGCTCTGCCAAGCTGTGTGACTTAGACACTGTCATATCTTCTTCTGGCATGCACCTGTGGTCACTGGGTGGTGGCCTGGGCCTCTGCCAGAAGGCAGCACCTTTAGGGGCATAGCTGGGGGATATGAGGTGCTGGGTAAACTGGGGTTAATTAAGACTCCAGGAACAATGACCTGCAGGAGGGAATGCCAGGCTCATCTAGTCCCACCTTCATTTTCTAGATAAAGAGATCTAGGGAGTGAATTCCTCAAAACCTGTAGTTAGTCGTCCCACATAGTAGGTGCTCAAAATTATTTGTCAAATAAATTCAAGGGCTACAACCAGCATCTTCTGACTTCAGGCCTAAGCTTCTGTCCATATGGTCTTCCCCAGATGGAGAAAATTGGCGATAAGTCTCTTTTGTCCTGAAGGCAGGGATAAAGCAAGTGACTCTGGCTCAGAAGTCAATGAACATACATAAAGCATGGAGGACCCTCCAAGAAAAGGTGCCCAAGGCAAAGAAATATCATGCCTGAGAGTTTCTAATAGTTTTTAGGAGCTGCCTAGAAGCCCTTTGAACCCTGGTGACCCATTCGTACTCAACATAACATGTTTTCTTAATTCCTAACTTCCGCTGTGGTTTGCTGGTATTTTCTTTTTTAGTCTAAGACTAGTTAGCAAACAAGACAAGTTGTCATTTCCTCATTTTCAAGCCTTGCTCCCCGTGGGGCCAGAAATCTCTTTCAAGCTCCAGATTGTGAAGGTTTCCTGGGTGAGCAGTGGGTCTCTCTGCTCCCGTCTCCAGGGGCTCGTGGATGGGACCTTGCTCTGGAAGGAACCATGGACCTCTGGCTTTGGTCACTTTGCTTCCTGCCAGGTAAGTGCCATAAGAAAACACCCCGCACAACTTATGAGGTTCGAACTGGCCACAGGCAGGGGAGTTGCGGACCATCTCTAGCTCTGCCGTTCCTGGACGGATTTAGTTGCAGACCAGTACCTAGGGCAGGATAAGGATGGAGACCATGTGAAGTTTGGGAGGCCCTCCCCACTCTCTGCTAGTGCCCCTCTCTCCACTCCAGACACATCTCCTATGGGGGGCTCAGGTGTTGACTCATGAGGGCTGAAGGTGTCACCTCTCCCAGACATATTAGCCTGGTAATGGGGGATCTTAAAGCAAGTGCCTCCAAATTCCTTTCTTCCTACCTCTACATTCTCTTCTCTTTCTTTGGGTCTCTTTCACTGCTGATTTTCAACTTCAATTTTAAATGAAGACTCCCTCATCCACTCAGCAACCCTAATCCATTCCCCAAGTTCCATATCTCAATTTACAGCTGTCTTCTGGGAACCCTCGCTTCAATATCCCACCAAGATCTGAAATGCAACATGCCTAAAACCTTACTTCAATTTCCTCATTGGTTCCCATCAAATCAGGTACTCCATCCATCTTAACTTTATCTCTGATATCAGCTGCAGAATGCAGAATGTTTTTTTGTTTTTTTTTTTTACCACCTCTTCCCATTTATCTCCATCCAGACTTTGACCCAATCAATGGCCAATTCTTGTAGTTTCTGGATTAGTATTACCAGAATGAACAACAGCGGCAGTCTCTACTAGAGAGGTTAACAGAGGGAATGGAAAGGAAGAGAACACACAGTCATCCCATAACTATCCAACCTGACCCACCTGCAGCTCCAGATTACTCTTTCTAATGCTTGACTCTAACCATAGGATCGCCCTTCCCAGCAAACTTCAAAGGCTCCCACTGCCTACAAACTCATCCCTTGTGGTCCCCTTTTATTCTCTGAGCTTACCACACTCCCCTGAACTTCCCTAACCTCCAGCCAAAGAGGACTCCTCCTTGAACATGTGCTACACCTTTTTGCCACCATGGTCTCCCTCATGCTATTCTTTCTGCTAGGATCATCTTTCCTCCCACCTCCACCTTTTATCCTTCAAAGTCCACCTTGGCCTCCACCTCCTTCTTATAACACTTTCCAGAGCCCATCTTCTGCATCCCCATAGGTGACCTCATTCTGCTTTATATTGTGACTTGGCATATATTCCCTTCATTTTGTTGATTAAATGATAAGCTCCTTGAGGGTCAAAATTATTTTTTAATTCATATTTGCTTTCTTCCTGATAGCCTGAATATGGAAGAAAGTCAAATATTTGTTGAGTTGAAGATTAAAAAGTCATAAAATCCAAGGAAATGCAGCTTTAATGAAATGTCAGACTCTGTAAGAGGTAACTGAAATGTCAGACTCTGTGAGAGGTAGTAGGACTTATGTGAACACAGTGGATGGGTAACTAAACTTAGGCCTGAGAGGAGAGAGGGGTTGGGTGGGGGTAGAAGATCTCTAGGAGTGAAGGGTACTTAAATTGTACCGCTAAAGTCTGCCCTGAGCAATACCACCATTGTGGCTGGGCCAGAGGAATCCCTGCTCTGGGTTCCATCCTTCTCCCAAGGTTTGTGACCTTCCCCACAGGGTGAGGAGTTCACAGACCCAAGGAGATTGTCCACCTCAAGCCCCCACACAAGTCCCCTCTTCTAGACCTCAAGTTCCCTGTCCAAATGACTCTGGGCCCACTTTTAATGACTGTGTGAACCTCTACCCTGGGTCTTGTATCCTAGTATTCTAATTCTATAGAAGAGTGGCCACAGGTGACCGTTTGGAATGATTATGAGTGGAGCTAATACATAGAAGCTGGGTTATCTGTCATGGACATACCAGGACTCTTGTGGTGTGGGCAGGAGACAGGGATGAGAAAAGAAGGGAGATGGGACAGAGACTAGGGATGTGGGGAACATTCTTTCCACATAGAAATGATTTAGAGTGGACATCTAAGGAGTATGTGAATTTGCCAAGACAGTTCATTAGTTTGATTTACAACTTTAAAATACTTAGACATATGATATTCGGGCCTTTATTTGTATTTCTGCCTCAGGTTGTAAAATTCCCAGGAACCAGTGCATGGGGCCCCAGCCATAGACCACATTGCCTGGAGCCCTAGATGCAGTTCCATAATAAAGCAAGGCAGTATTACATGGTATAGGCTTTCAAATCTTTTTTTTACCTTGACCCCAAAAATAATAATACATACACTTGATGTTGTGACCCAGCCCATGCATGCGTGTGCGCGCGCACACACACACACACACACACACTTAAAATTTATTCTTGATTTTTTAATATAATATGGGAATGAGTTTTGGACTTCAGCAGTTGGATATTTGCTGGTGTAATCTGAAGCAGGAAGAGCTTAGAAGGAATAGGTTTTGGAAGAGAAATCAAGAATTCTTTTGCTGTTGTTGTTTGTCTATTTGTTTTGCTATTGTAAGTTTGAAATACATCTTAGACATTCAAGTAGAGTCCAGGTGGAGATATCAGAAAGGCGATTCTAGAGCTCAGAGGTACAGACAAGACTGGAGATAAAAGTTCTGGTGAAATCCACATAGAGTTGGCATTACAAGCCATGGGCGTAAATGAGCTAGTGTGGGGACAGTAAGGGAAGACCAAGAAGAGAACCAGTTCCAAGTTCCAGGCCCTGGGGCAGCCCAACATTGCGAGTTGGATAGAGAAGGAGAAGAAAGTAAGGAAATTGAAAAGAAGCAGTCATTGAGAGTGTGGTGTCAGGGAAAGCCACAGGACATTAGCGTTTCAAGGTGGGAGGGCTCAGTTCCCTCAAATGCTGCCAAGAGGCAAATAAATGAAGACAAAGACACCAAATGTAAGGAAGATTTGGGGAAAAAAAGGAAATTTTTGCTGACCTGGACCAACAGTTCTAGCTGAATGTTGGAGACAAAATTCTGACAGGTGTAGGTGGAAGAGGAAGTGGGAGGTGTGGAAGTGGATTCCATGATCATGATGACTCGTTTGAGAAAGAGAACGGAAGAGGGGTGGTAGCTGAAGGGGAGGCAAAAAGTAAACAGAGGGCTTTTTCAACACGGGCAATATCAGAGCAGGTGTGTAAACCATGGCAATGCCAGCAAAGAAGAGACCAATTGCACAGGGAGGAGAAAGGGACAGCTGTACCAGGACGGACTCGGGACACAGGAGAAGGGACTGGCTTTTGGGAGGAGAAGGGACTCTCCATTCCTTTTTTTCTTTTTTTTTAATTATGTTAGTCACCATAGAGTACATCATTAGTTTTTGATGTAGTGTTCCATGATTCATTATTTGGGTATAACACCCAGTGCTCATTACAACACGTGCCCTCCTTAATACCCATCACCAGGCTAACCTATCCCCCCACCCACCTCCCCTCCGAAACCCTCAGTTTGTTTCCCGGAGTCCATAGTCTCTCATGGTTCGTCTCCCCCTCTGATTCCCCCCCTTCAGTTTTCCCTTCCTTCCCCTAATGTCCTCTGTGCTATTCTTTATGTTCCACATATGGGGACACTCCATCCCTTGTGACAGGACAAAGAGCAGATGGCCAGCCTGTACACACCTGTTGGCATATGTGGGGGTGGGAAGTTGAGTTGGACGTTTCTCATCCTTTTTTAAAAAGTCACACTCCATCTGACAAACATAAAAATCTCAGGCCAACTTCCTCCTCCAGACATAATTCTGCTGCAACTTGAGTTGACAGGGCTCTCATCACCTGGAAAACCATGGCTACACAAAATCCAAAATCTGTCTCCAGAGCACCGCTCCAGCCAAGGCCTTGTGGGCATTTACCATATTTTTCATCATGGAAATTATGTGTTTTTTCCCCCATGCTCCAAAAACATATATTTATATTTATTTATAATTGATATATATAATTTATATCTATTTATAATATTATATATTTATATCCAATTATATGTTGAGAGTGACTTTTTAAAGCACATATATCCCTGTCCCCTACTATCACCACTAACAAGCAAGTCACCAACTTAGAGATCAAGGTCGCTTACTGAGTAGCCTCTCTAAAATACCAATTTTAAGCAGGGTGGGTCCTTTAGTCACCTCTTCTACCCCTCCCGTTAGTTCCCAGAATCATTTGGAAATATAGCTATATAGTTCAGAATTGCAAAAATTCAAGGGCACCTAGGATGTTTATTTTAAAATGCAACTCCACAGGCCCCACCGTAGATAGATGTAACCGCCATGACAAAAGGGAAGATCAGGTCATCTGCAGCTGAGTAAGTTCCTCCAAAATGAATCTTATGCACACTGTGCATAAGTTCTATTTTTTTAAAGATTTTATTGACTGATTGATTCATTCATTCATTTATGAGAAAGAAAGAGAGAGAACGAGTGGGGGGGGGTAGGTGCAGAGGGAGAAGCAGACTCCCCGCTGAGCAGGGAGCCTGACGCAGGACTCGATCCCAGGACCCTGAGATCATGACCCAAGCCGAAGGCAGACGCTTAATCGACTGAGCCACCCAGGTGCCCCTGTGCATAAGTTCGAAACCAGGAGATTATGTCTGTCTTTTCTCTCTTTGGGAAATCTGCTTTTCTAAGCTTTGGGTGTGGGTTAGAAGCTACTATGAATTCCAAGGAGAACTGGGGTCTGGTCATTTCACATCTCACCGACTCGTGCTTCCCTGGGACCAGTGCTCAGTGTATCCAGCAGTTTTTCTTGCGTTTCATCCATTCAGAGTTTGCACAGTAAGGATGCCTTAGTCTGTTCTGGCTGTTTCAATAAAAAACCATAGACAGTGTGACTTAAACAATAGATATTCATTTTTCACAGTCCTGGAAACTAGAAGCCCAAGATCAAGATGCCAGCAAATATTGCCCTTGGTCAGGGTCCTCTTCCTGGCAGACAGACAGCTGCCATCTCCTTGGGTGCTCACACAGCCTCTTCTTGTGTCCATGGAGGGAATGAGGACACTGATCGCATTATGAGAGCTCCACTAACCTCATCTAACCCTGATTACTTCCCAAAGGCCCCACCTCCTACTACCATCACATTAAAGGTTAGGGCTTCAAACCATGAATTCTAGCGGGACACAAACATGCAGCCCGTAACAGAGGATCTGAGTAAGCCAAGGCTTTTCCAGAAGCTCATCCCTGAGCAGAGTGAGGTCACTGGAGGTGTCTGAATAGGTGATGGCCCCCCTCTGCTCTTTCTTGCTGCCGCCCACATTGTAGCATCTCGCTCTTGGGAAAGCAGCATTCACTCTCCTTTCTGGCTGGGTTGGTCCAAAAATACATGTTCACTGGCAGGTGCTGGGCCTCACACACAGGTGCGGGATGTCTGGTCACACAGGGTAATTCCCCCACCCCCTTGATCAGGTCTTTCTCTTTTGAATGGGTCACCCTTCCATTGCCATGTTCTAGTCATGAGGCTGTCTCACACACCTCAGTTTCCAACAGCTTGGATTACTTGTGTGAGGGTCCTCATGGCAGATATTATGGGTCTGGCTGGCCCCCCTGCTTCTCCTTACCATTTAACACCAGCTACACTCTTAGACTTGAACATGCTCCTGTAACGGCTTCCCTTCCTGCCCCTCTTCCCCACCTCACACTCCCAGGGTTGCTTCAACTTCTTCACTGTTATCCACACTCTCCCCTCTCTCCGGAATGTCCTCCCCAGCGCTCTCTGCTCATCCAGAAACCTCAAGCCCTGCTTCTTTCCTTGACTCTCCTCATCTTACTAAACTCTTTGGAGCTATTCTTAATGTGTGGTCAGGGAAAGAATTTCAAGAAATTCGTCAACGCCTCTCTGCCCCACGAACATTCCATGTTCTCTCTCCTATCCTGGCCTCTTTGGGGGCTGTACTCACTGCCTGGAAGAGTCTTTCCTCCGGCCTCCAAGTCCCCTGGCCCCACTCCAACACACACATTTCACCCTATGCCCCTCTTCCCAAAAAGTGGACACTTACTGGGACCCACTTAGTTGATATTTAATCTTACTTGGACTTACCCTCTCTTCCAGCTGACTCAACTGCATTAGACCTGTCTTCTCTCAGCCAAAACATAAGCTTTTTGATTTCAGGGACTCATGAACGATGTACTCCTCCATGCTTCACACCCTCCCCCACATACATACAATGTACACACACCTGTGCACACGTGTATGCACACTCACACACACCCTTGGTTTCCATCTGTGTTCCCTACTCCAGTGAAGATGATCATCATTCTCTCAGCTGCCTTCCACGCCCAGTCTTTCAGGTCACAACTGAGACATCATTTCTTCTAGAAACCCTTCTTCAAACTACACCATCCCTCTGCAACAACATGGACCTGGTGTCTCCGCTCACTGCTTCCAAGGAACGCTGTGTATCTCCATGGTGGGGCTCATTACACTGTGCTGGGGCTATAGTGACTGGCCATTTGTACAGCCCACTAAATGATTCATTCTGTGCATGGAGGGATGCCAGCTACCTTCCTGCCACATGAAAGACATTCAATAAATGCTTGAGTTTTGTTGGTTTGTTTTTTTTTAATGATTTAACAAATGAAACCAAGGGTGAACAGGCGATTTGGCTGAGTGGATCTGAGGAAAACAAAACTAGACAGAAAACCTCTTGCAGCAGAATCGCACTGTGCCTCCCAACACCACACTGAAGTCGCTTGGGCGCCATGTGCTGTTTGGAGTCACTATGGCATAGCATCTTTCCTTGGCATGGGGCAGTAGTTTGGCTATATTCTTAGGGGGTTGGTGTCTGGGATCTTATAGGTTTGGGTTTGAATGAGGTTGAAGGTTATGTTAAGGCTTAGGCTGGGAGAGGTCTGGCTGGGAGCCAGGCTCCGGCCAAAGGGACCAGGGCATAGAATGGTCTGAGGACATACATAGGGTTAGGGATGAGAACAGGTGGAGGATGAGGCCAGCGCTAGAGAGCAGGAGAGAGCCGAGGCTGAGGGCCGGCTGAGGCTTGGTCTGATGATGGAGATGGGTCTGGAGCTAGGGATGGGTGTGAGGCTGGGCTGGGGCCTGGGCTGGAAATAGGGCTGGAGTGGGGGATGTGGTTGGGAATGGGGCTTCCTCTATATTAACTCCCTCTCCCTGCAGTGGCTGGGGCTCTGAGGGTCTTCCCCGAAGTAAAGATGGTGGGAATGCTGGGTGGATCCGTTACCATTGAGTGTCCGCTTCCTCAAATGCATATGAGGCTCTATCTGTGCCGGCAAATGGCCGAATCTGGAGGATGTGCCACCGTGGTGTCCAACAAGAACTTTGTCAAGGAAGAATACAAGCACCGCATCACCCTGAAGCCTTGTCCAGATAAGAATTTGTTCCTAGTAGAGGTGACAGAGCTGGCCAAGAGTGACAGTGGAGTCTATGCCTGTGGGACAGGCATGAACACAGACCGAGGCAAGACCCAACTAGTCATGCTGACTGTCTACAATGGTAGGTGCCCCAGGCTCAGTGCACCCAGCAAATGTCTCCACCCGGGAAGGCTGGGACAACCACTGAACTATAGCAGTCCTCCAGACTCTCATGCCATTGCCATGTTAGCCAGTCCAAAGATCATTGGGATTTACATAGTTGAAACCTCACAGTCCCCCAAATTTCCTGTCCAAACCATTTGAAAGGAACAAGATAAGCACTCTTCTTGTGCTGTACTGTATCCATCCTACCCAAGGCCTGAGGGGAGTGGGGGTTTAAGATTGAGGAGAGGCTCTGAGACAGGCGGAAATTAGAAGCAAAGGGACATAATTGTCCTACAAAGTTGTCCCATGAGAAATAGCAGGGATAACTCTAAAGGAAAGACAGTCGTTTTTCAAGCCCCATCTGTAGGCCAAACTTGGTACTTTATAATCAGATCCTTTCCGTATGTCTTCTCCCGAATCCCACCTTTCTCCATTCCTCCACTGACTTCCTAACTCAAATGCAGCACTAATCCCACGGCCTAGAATCCCAGTGGTGGCTAGTGCAAACGTTGGCTGAGTGAAGGTGAAAGAATATTTATTTCGGGGAAGTCTCAGCCCATTTCTTGTTCTGCTCTTCCTGGTGGACCCTGTTCTCATCCCCTGGCTGCCATCCACCCTGGCTAGGTCACCTTAACTCCTACCAACATCCCTTCCCCTGGTCTCAGTCTGCTCTTAGAGTCCACCAGTGGTTATTCCCCTTGCCTCCATAGAGTATGAGCCATTCTGGGAAGAGGAGCCGATGCCCGAGCCTCCACCTTGGCTTCATCGATTTCTACACATGCCGACGCCCCCTTGGCTCCAGATGCCTGTGCATGACAGTTCTTTTGAATTTGTACCTAAAGGTCAGTTCACCAAAGCTAGGGCAGGGCAGGAGGTGGGAGAGATGATGTGGCATTGTGACAGTGGAGGAGGGGGGATGTGTTCAGTTCATTGAATGGTTGGCAGAGCACAGCTGAGTCTCAGATGTGTATTTCCCTGTGTTGGGAGAGGGTACCTCCCTGAGATTAGCATCCTTTGTCCTTCAAGCCCATCCTAAAGCCTTGTTGACTTGGCACTAATTGCAGCACTTACACATCACCACCAGGTGGCACCACAAGTAATGAGGTTTGTGCTCCATTCACAAGGAAATCTTAAGCTTTTTTAAGAATGACTTGTGGAAACCAAGACTGGGCAGACCTTTTCCAGCCAGAGGTCCTTATGCCTCCTTTTCCCCATAGGGCTGTCTACATTTGCTGGAATACAGTGATTTTAACAATTCTATTTTGCAATAAAAAGACTGATGATTATACTTATGGTACCTTTACTTTCCTATATCCTTTTCCTGTTTTAAATGCATTTTGACATGCAATATTTCCATCACATCCTCACATCTATCTTGTGAGGTAGATACATTAATCGAACAATTGTTACACTACAGGACATTGCTGGGTGCCAAGAGGGATAGTGTAACTGAGTGTACCATATACCCAAGGTTGTGACTGATGGGTGTGGGCTAGAGGAGAATAGACAAGCACAGAAATACAGCATAAAGCAGTATGGGGATGGAATTATAAACAGGGTTTTCTCCATGCTCAGAGGAGGGCAAGCTCTTCTGCCCAGGAAATCAGAGAAGGCTTCCTGGAGGAAATGGCATTTTGAAGCAAATATATATAGAATTCACTAGGTGTAGAGGACATGCTAAGAAAGCATTTCAGGCCATGAGGACTGCAAGTACAGAGTCTAGGCAAAGGGAAAGAGTGTGTTCAGGAAAGAGAGGGTGACCCAATCCTGCTAGAGACTAGAGTGTATAGAAAAAGTCACTTTTTTCTGTTATCTCCTGCAGTTACCACACCAGCTGAAAGGACGGAGGCCCCTCCAGAAATCCACTCCTCCCCCACCACCCCAATCTCTCACCATCTTCGAGTTTCCAGGGCATCTTCAGTAGCAGCTGCCAAGCCCCCAACCTTCCTGCCATCCACCACAACCTCAAAGACCTCAGCTCCGGAGAGGCTGCTTAGGCCCCAGACAGCCAGCTACAACTACCACACCAGGCTTCATAGGCAGAGGTAAGGGGTCTCCACCATCCAGGATGGGCTAGAGGTCAAGCAATTAGCCTAAAGTTAGGAGATCCACTGAACTCTTCCCGCAACATTTGCCAACAGAGACGCTTCTTGTCTCTAGGCCACTGTGTACTATACTACCTATGAGTGTAGCACATTAGCTCATTAGTCCAATGACAAGATTACACTTGGCAATGTCCCAGCAGGAGATCCTGTAGAAATGAGACCCAAATCTTTTAAGTCACTCAGCATTCACTCAGATCTGCTTTGATGGGGAACTAAATAAGAATAAAACTAACGATGAAACTATTAACTATTCAAGTTAGTTTCACCTATTTTCTTTTGCTTTTTCAGTGTGGCTACCAGGAATTTTAAAATTTACATGTGTAACATTGTATTTCTACTGGACAGCACTGCTCTAAAGGGTGGGGGACACCCAGAAAAGTGCTGCAGTGGACCACTAGGGGATTAGAGCAGCCTTCCAAAGAAAACCTTTAAGAATTGGAATTAATGTTGCCCAAGCAAAGACAAGCATGTTGATGAGGAAAGGGACCTCCAACATCATTTGGATTTTATAGATGAGGAACTGAGGTCATGAGAACTATGTGTTTTCAAATAGAACCAGGACTCCTGATTCCTAGTTCAGTAGACTACACCAGCCTTCCAGTGGAGAAGAATTCAAGGCAATTCAACCAACATTTTTTTTTAAGATTTTATTTATTTATTTGACAGAGAGAGAGGTAGCAAGAGCAGGAACACAAGCAGGGGGAGTGGGGGAGGGAGAAGCAGGCTCCCCGCAGAGCAGGGAGCCCGATGCGGGACTTGATCCTAGGACCCTGGGATCATGACCTGAGTTGAAGGCAGATGCTTAAGGACTGAGCCACCCAGGCGCCCCTCTTTTTCTTTTAAAAGATTTATTTATTTGAGAGAGAGCACAAACAGGAGGGGCAGAGAGAGGGAGAAATAATCTCAAGCAGACTCCATGCTGAAGCCGTCTGGGGGCTCACTCGTGAAACCCTGAGATCATGACCCAAGCTGAAACCAAGAGTCAAAAGTTTAACTGACTGTGCCACCCAGGTGTCCCTCAACCAACATTTTCTCAGTTTCCATTATCTGCCACGCATTGTGCTCTGTCCTGAAAAATTAAGAAAGATGAAAACATGAAATATCCAAGTCTTCTCTTACTAGTGCAAGTCTGACTGTGATAAGGGTTGTAAACTGTATAAACACAAGAACTGAGGACAGTGAGAAAAAATTGATTCTAGTTTGCCGTGATTGCAGAAGAGAACCGATGTACTGACCCTTTAAGGAAAGTAATATTTTAATCTGTAGAGAAAATGGAGGGAAGACCTAAGCAGAGGGCACCTCATGAGAGAAACATCTTTTCCATAGTTAAAAGAAACCGAACTTGTTTCGTATTTCCACTCATCTTGTAGAGAAGCTGAGATGCAAACAGTCAGAAGGGGAATTGACATTTACTGATTGCTGCTTGGACTAGGTGCTCTCACTTCTTTATACCTACAATTTTGTTTCATCCTTGAACAGTTCTGTGAAACAGGCTTTACTATACTCATTTCCTCAGAAATGAGGCTCAGCGAGGTTCAGAGACTGATTCAAGATCACACAGCCAGTAGAAAGCTGAATCTGAATTTGAATACAGGTTTCCTTACTCCATAGACAAGGCTCTTTGGGGGCGGGGGGCGGGGGATTTTGTTAACAAAGGGACAAACCTCAGCCATCTCCAAAATGTTGGCTACTCAGGAGTGCTGCCTTAAACCTCCCTCCCTCACAGACCTCTCCCTTCCCTCTCCTTCCTTCTTCAGAGCCTTTCACCAGGATCCCGTGCCTGGGTTGGAAGACCAAGGATTTCACATCCTGGTGCCCACTACCCTGGCCCTCATCCTGCTGGCACTGCTGGGACTGCTGATGAAAAGGGTCATTCAAAGGAGGAAAGGTGAGCGGCTGGGGGCTCAGGGCGAGGTGAGCATTCAGACTCCGCTGGAACCTCCTTCCTCCCACCCCTCAAGGGAAACTCTGGAGCTTCAGATAAGCAGCCTGGGGCATGAGCACCTTGGGAGAGGGGTCAACGGTCTGGAAATGGGGACGAGGAGGGCGGCCCTTTGGTCTTCATTGTTGGGCAAGGCTATGCCTCATACATTCAGAGCACCTCCACTGCAGCCCCGGCCAAGCCCCCGAGGAGGGAGACAGCCTGTAGTTTCCCTACAGGGACCCGAGGGCGGGGACGGTGGCCACAGGCCCCTGACGCCTTTCTCCTCTTTACCCGCGTCTTTGCGGGGCAGCCCTCTCCAGGCGGGTCCGCCGAGCGGCCGTGAGAATGCGCGCCCTGGAGGCATCCCAGCGGCCTCCGCTGCATCGGCCCCGCGCGTCGCAGCCGCTGCGCTCCCAGAACATCTACAGCGCCTGCCCGCGGCGCGATCCGGCGGCGGACGCGGAGGGTGAGCCGGGAACCTGGGACGGTGGGCGGGGCGGGGACAGCCGGAGGGGCGAGGCACGCCGGGGACAGCCGGCGGGGCGGGGCGGGGCGGGGGCAGGGCCGAGAGGGACTGTGGGAGCGTTGCAGCCGCAGAAACTGCGCGGACGCCGAGGCAGCGCACGAGCCCTGAGCCTCCAGGAATGCCCCGCGCCTCGGAGCCCGCTCCGCCTCCTTAGGGCTTCCGGCGGGGCGGGGCGGGGGCGGACCGGACCGCGGCCACGCCCTCACCTCCGTCTCCCTGTCTCCTTAGGTGACGGGGAGGTACCTCTCCCACGCCCGCGAGCGTCGGCGCCCCCTGCCGCTCCTCAGGTAGGCTCCGCCCCGCCCCTGATTGGCAGCCGCGGCCCGAAGGGCGGCCCTACACCTGGGCTTGGCCCGGGGGTGGGTGCGTGGGGGGCGTTCCTGGAGCTTCCCGTTAGCCGGAGGGCACAGCTTTCCCAGCAGTTCCTGGGCCCCGAGTCTGGGAAGAGGTTGTGTCAGTTTCCTCCTTTGAGGGTGTCGGTGGACTGAGTGCCCAACAATTGTGGTAGATTTCGTTACCTGGCTTCTAGCCAAGCATTACTGTGGGATAAATGGGCGCTCAGTAGAGGCGATGGATGGCAACTCTACCGCACGGAAGGACTTTCATGTGAAAGAGCTGCGATTTCCAGGGGGTCTTAAGGGATTGGAATCTACCCAGTTTTACCTTAATATGAGGGAGAACTTTCTAGTAAACTCTGTAGGATCAGAGGAGGTACTTTGCCCAACGCTGGAGGTAGTAAGACTGGCCTAGAGGATGACTTGGCAGACAGATGTGAAGATGTAGATAGGATTCAACCCTTGGGTGAGGAGGATTCCTCTGGAAATCTATGAATGGACATAGGGAGCTCCTGTGTCTATGGATGGCCATTGGCAGATGGGTAAAAAGTATTTAAACTGTCCATTCATTTCTGTTTATCCTAATTAAGAAGAGAAACTATTTTATTCTCTAGAGTAGCTCACAGGAGTTAAAAAACTACTACTACTATTGCCTCAGGAACCAGGAAAAAACTAAGTGTGGTGAATGTTCTTGTTTTAATTAGGGTGTAGACGAAGCTAATGCAACAGACCCTAAACCACAGGGTTCACAAGATGGAAGCCTGTTTTCCTCCCAAGTTAAAGCAGGGGGCCAGGAAGAGGTGGCCAAAGCCACCAGGTCATCCAGGGACTCAAACACCTTCTGTCTTGTTGCTCCACTATCCTCTGGAGTCTTGCCTGGTCCACCGTCAATGCTAAGTCACCAGCACCATGTCTCCATTCCAGCCCCTAAGAGAAAGTGAAAGGTGCTTCTTTAAGACCATGACCCTGAGGTTTCACACATTCCTTCCAGTCACACCCCATTGGCCATAACTTAGTCATGTAACCACACCTATCTTCAAGGGAGACTGAGAAATGGAGTCCCTAACTGAACAATTGTGTGCCTTGCTATAAAGGGACGGTGATACCCAGTAACAAGTAACAGCTCTGCCACAGTCACCTCCAGCTTCCTGACCTTGCCCTTACCCCCCCCGCTAGAGAAGTTTCACAGTGGCGTAGGTATGGTCCAGCAGCACCATCTACCTTTCCACCAGCCCTTTCCTCTTGAACTTCCCTGCTGCCACACACACCCTCACCTGAGCCTGTACCTTGCTCAAATCTTACTGTTCCTCCCTGCTTGAAACTCTCATTCACCCTATTAGGGACAAAAATCTTGACTGAACCAGTCCACCACAAGGTGTATATGGTTAATAGCTCAATATTTTAGCTTTCATAGGGAGCATCTTGATTTTTCAAGCAGAATAAATTACTCTTAACTGATTAACAAGCAGTAGGAGATATATTTTTGAAACAAATTGCAGCTCATTCCCTCTGTGGTAAAGTTCACAAAGTAATAGTTCCTTTCCATGAGTGAGCCTTCCTTAGTGCCTACTATGTTCATGGGGTTGGACTTGTAGTTCTTGGCACTTGTATTTCAATAGGTGACTCTCCCTACTGAAGCCTTCTTGGGTGGATGTTATACTAATTGTGCAGTGTTGGAATCATGGCACAGCCCTGTCCTCCCAAGAACTGACCCATCCTGAAGGCGGGTGATCCTGAAGTTTCCTTCCGGGGAAGAGGCCAAGTGGCCTACTGCCTTCCTCCTCTTCCCTACCCCTTCCTGGAATGTACTGTTATGCCACACCATAGCCTCTCTGAGTCCTTACAGAGGTGCAGGGGATGACTCACCCTGCTTCTGAATAACTCCCTAAGAAGATGCATATTTATTCCACAAGTCATACCAACTAATCCCAGAGGGGAAACTCCTCTGGCAGCTGAGTCCCCTTCACACCCATGCTTAGCCATGTGACTTTAGCCCGAGCCCCATTTAAGGCACTTCCTGCCCACGTTAGATCGAAGTGGTTTCCAGTTATCTGCGGTGAGACACCACCCTGAAACTGCCCAAGGCTGAGCCACTTATGTGTCTTTGCCTTCTAGAAATCGGCAACCATGCACATACCCCCTATTGCCCACTGTGGAAATCTATCTGGAGAGATACTAAAATCACCCTCCCCAGATCCAGTGATGCTTCTTTGGTTGTTCCCAGGTGTCTGAAGCTCTCTGGCTCCATGCCCCATCTCTGAAGACCAGCTGTGAATATGTGAGTCTCTACCACAAACCTGCTGCCAAAGTGGAGGACACTGATTCAGATGACTATGTCAATATTCCCTGCCTGACTCACCTATCCAGCTGTCCCCCTGGGCCCAGACCTTGGTGCCAATGAGTCCTGTCTAGCTGCTGGTTTCCAATACTTGCTCTGTTTTCAGAGTCCTCATTACCTCCCACGCCAACTTCAAGTCTCATTCCTGTCTCTTCTGAGAATAGCTCAGTAACCCCTCGCAGCTCTTCTTGCACACCTCTGCAGCCCCCTGCGGTTTTCAAGTGGGCTCTGGGCATGCAGAGCATTTGTCCCAGCACCACCTGCTTCTTCTCCAAGCCATGGGATTTGCAGAGTGTCTTTGATTTCACTGCCCTGGCTCTAGACTCATGGCATCAAGCTGGAGCATAGGCATAGGTGTTGCTTCGGGAGACTTTCTCAGCCATGGGCGTCACACCAATAGAAGGCCCCTGGACCTTCTGACGAAGATATGAAATGCCCCTGGCAACATCTTTGCCCTGATATTGAGGCTGGCTCTCACTAGTGAGCTTCTATTCGTCTTGAGTCCTATGGTAAGGACATTTTTTTTTTTTTTGATGAAAGGTTGTAAATTTTCAGAACCATGCTTGTTAGTGTTAGTGATAATATGTATATATTCCTGAATCTTCTATATTGTCTCCCTCCCTTGATGTACATAAGTACCTTGACCCCAGTGTCTCCCCTCTTTTAAAAATAGGATAGTTTGTATCATCTCTTTATCTTCCTTCCATGGCTTAGCACTGATATTTGTGCATTTAATGTTGTTCTGTTTTGACCATCCCAAACCGTTACATCTGTCTGCATTCAGAAATGCCCCCTCATCTCTGCCAGGTAACTTCTGGCAATGTAGGGGAGGAACGTGGCTTCTTGGAGGGCCAGGTGTTCTGCAATAGCACTTATGTCATGAAAGGAGAGATATCCCCCCTCCTACGTATACCTTCTCTTAAGTTTTCTGGGCAAGGGCATAGACAGACATTACATCTTTGGACTAAAGGCAACTACAAAGTTCAGCCAGAGCTTGAGACTAAAGAACACCCAGTCTTGCTATTCAGAAGAAGACCTTTCCTGGATGCATAACTCAGCCTTACTGGGCACTTGCCCACACTTAGGAAGAAGAGGCTGCCAGAATTGAGTTCCCTGCTTCTTATTAGCAGGGAGTGTCACTGAAGATTGGACAGTAGTATGATGACACCATTAGCAGTGTCAGCTTGACAACGGCACCCTTTCCAGTGGCACATAAGAATGAGTAGTATAAGAAAGGAGGGCCCCCAAGGAAAAGGGATGGTAAGAATAGGATGGGGAGGAATGAAATGTGTAGTAAGCCTGCTGTGTGCTGGGCACTTAGCCTGCATCGTATCTTCTATCATTTACACTCCAAACTGATGCCCCTCGCCTCCACCCAACACAGTGCTGTGTTCCAGCAGATCTCATGGCAATATGGTTTCTGTGCCCTGAAGTGCAACTTCATATCCCAACACCCCTCATTGTTCCTCAATCATTCAAAGACAGACAAAAAATCCAGTTTATTAAGCATTTACTGAGCACTTATCCATTGCCCCACACCAGGTGCAAGCATTGTGGAGGATAAAAAAGAAGCATGGGCACTGTCCCTGCTGCCTACACAGAACTTACAGTCTGACAAATAAATATGGCCTCAGTTAAAACACTGACAGGAATTAAATAAGAGTTGTAACAAATACAGAAATCTACTTTGTAGATTATTCACAGCATCCAAGAGAACCTTCCATGACTGTCTTTGGGGCCACTTAAAGAATGAAGTCTTTGAGGATAAGCCTAGCCAAGAATGAAATCCATCGTCAAGGGTGTGAAGTGCCCAGAGAACATCACAGGAAGGGATACGGCACATTTGAAATGACATGGAGGACAAGAAGTGTATCCTGGTCTCGGCATTCAGAACTGGTAGAATTTCTCCATCCAGGTCAAGAGAATGTCCACTTCTCCAAAGGCTTTGGTTTGGGCTGCTTGTATGTCCAACTAAAGAGAGAGGAGAGTTGAAGATCTACCATATTAGCTACAAGAATAGGTTTCCTTCCCACCCACCGCTCCTGGAGCTGGCTGTACCAGCTCTGGGATGGCCTCTGATGAGCGCACCCACCCATCACTTGTTCCTTCACAGGGGTGGGGGAGGCAGTGAGGACTAATGGACCAGTGAGTAGCAGTGGGTAAGGAGCAAGGGAAAAGCATCTGGAGTTCCTGATAACAAGAACTATAGAATCCCAATGCAGGGTGGATTTTGCCACCTCCTGAGTCTACTATGCAGATGAAGAATCTGAGATCCAGTTGCCCCCCTTCCTCTGTATATGATTACTCTTCACCATTTATTTTTAGGATGATATATCTGTTCCTCAAAAAAGTGATCAAAATCATATATTTTTTGTAGGGGGTCTGCGGATTAAATTTGGATTTTCTTTGTTGTCTTTATTTGGGAGACAGTAACGTATTTTCCCGTACTTTTTTCCTCACAAACTAGACCATTTGAGCATTATGGAAAATACTGCAGATAGGTAGCTTGTGTTTGGGGTAGGGGGTGCACCTCAGACTCCAATTGCCTAGCTCAAATATTCATAAAACTTTCACAGGGTAAGTCCTTAAAATGAAATCCTCTTGTAGGGAAATAGAAAACATTTTAATATGAAAACTGGCATGGGGCGCCTGGGTGGCTCAGTTGATTAAGCAACTGCCTTCGGCTCAGGTCATGATCCTGGAGTCCCGGGATCAAGTCCCACATCAGGTTCCCTGCTTGGCAGGGAGTCTGCTTCTCCCTCTGACCCTCCCCTCTCTCATGTGCTCTCTCTCTCTCTCTCTCTCTCATTCTCTCTCTCAATAAATAAAATAAAATAAATAAATAAAATCTTTAAAAAAAATATGAAAACTGGCACAAAAATGGACCATGTAGTTTGTGGAGCTTGTGCAAAGTAGATGATAATTGATGCAAATAGCCCTGTGCTTGTGCAAAATTAGGTGGCTTTGGGGCACGCCTGGTGGAGTCACCTGCAGTGGGTTCTGCATGAGGTCTCCAAGGCACCCCCGTGTGATGGTTCAGGCTAGTCTACTGGTGGATAGGCAAGCTCTCGAATCCTGGCCTTGATTACCTGCTTAAACGCTCTCTGGAACAGCAGAAACCGCCGGCGTGCACTCTCACTGATAGAAAACATCTCCTTTTCCTGCTGGATAATAGAAAAAAAATTGTGCCAAGTGTTGGGTAGCAGCAGAGGCAAGCCCCCTCCACTCCTTCCTAGTGATGCCAGAGGGGTTCCCCCAGGCCAGCTCTGAATCCCACATTCTCAAGGTAGCCACTGCTGAACTCCCACTGGCTGTGGGAGCTGACTCCTTTCATTTTCACAGCAATCTGGCCACGTAGGGGTGATTGTCTACATTTTATAGGTAAGAAAAATGAAGCTCGGAGAGGCTGACTGCTTTGCAAAGGGTTATCCAGCTGGTTAGCAGACCTGAACTTGAATCCAGAACTACAAGTTCCAGATTCCAGAGCCTGTGCTCTTTCCCATGACAGCATCGAATCCCTGTCATGAATAAAAGCCAGGACTGGAGAAGGAGAGGGAAGATGTCTTCTCAAAACACGTCATTTCCCGTGGGCCCCAGTCACAGTGTTGTTCGACTCACACTGGGTTGTAGTTTTGACGCAATGACAAAAAAGTTGTTGGCCAGAGTAGAGAATGACTTCCGGATCCTGGAGTCAGCTGCCTTATCCAGATAGTTCTTGAAAACAGTATTCAGGTAGAACTTCAGCAGGGCACGGAGGAGGTAGCAGCTCTCAGTGTCCTGGGGAGGGTCTGGGTTACCGCAGAGCTGAGCCCTCTGCCCCCACCCTGACCCAGGATGAACGGCCCACATGCCACACGAGGCAAGATAAGCACATAGAGAAAGAAATCTTCTAGGAGATGCTGATAAACATTAGATCTGAAGGAGCCTTCAGGGGCACGCAGAGCGGCACCTTTGGTTGACTGGAGGAACAGCAGACCCAGAGAGGACAGACACAGAGCCAGTGGCAGACACAGACCTAGGTCCCAGGAGTCCTGATTCCCCATCTGTTTAGTGTTCTTTCCTCTACACCACGTGGCCTCTCTAATAGGTGTGTGTGTGTGTGTGTGTGTGTGTGTGTGTGTGTGTGGCGGGGGTGGGTGATGGACCCTGGAAAGCACCTGACACTTGGTGGTCCAGAGTTGAGAGTCCAGGGAAAGAACTGGAAAGAGAAATGAGAAAAGGAAACTACACTCTGGAACACAGGGATTGCACTCGAGCTCCCTTGAGCACCAGAGTGAAGTTCAGTGCCTTGCAGGGATCAGGGCTCAGTACATGTGCTCGCTGACTGCCTAGCTGGGTGAGGGGACAACAGTAATGGGTGAGAAAGAGGAATGTGAACCAATGAGACCTAAGCAGATGTGGAATCCTGGCAACTCTGGCTAAATGGAGAAAGATGCTTGTGAGCCTCAATCCGCACCACCCTCCATGCCACCACACACACATACCCACGTAACCTGGACACAAGGGTGATGACCCAGACGTTGACTTCTCTGGCTCACTGCCCAGCCATGTCCTGTGTAGGCTCAGTCTGGGCAGAAGTGGTCTCTATCAGCCTCCCCTAGACCACCCATAGAAGACAAGCCAATATGGCACCAGACAGAGGCATAGTCCTTCCCCAGTGTCTGATTACCGAGACGTTCTGCAGAACCTCCTTCCGTAGCAGCCGGACACTGGTGATGTTATCCTTAGCTTGCTTTGGGAATAGAAAGAAAAGATGTGTCCAGCTTGATGGGCAGCACAGAAATCAACCTTGCAAATACATGCCGGCCCCCAAATCTATCCAGTCTGAGATCTCAGAGGCCAGAGGAACCAAGGGAGGACCCAGGAAGGGCTGAGCTGAGGTGGCCCCTCGGGTGAGGGTACAAGTTTCCAGCCACAGAAATCACTAAGCTTAACCCCCACAGGCAGATGGAATTACAGGAACTCTCTAAGACTTGATGGGGGACCCGTTTGATTCCTTTGGTCAGGAGGAAATAAGCCTATTTGGTTTAAGAACGACTAGGGGCAGGGTTTTGCCTCCGTATTCTGTGGGGGTTGGTGTGGGGTGGGAGTTGCACCTCCGAGTTGCCTCTTGCCCTTGGAGCTTCCCCTGCAACCAGCCATATCCTCCAATTCTCGGATTGTATTCAAAGCATCTTTGTGAGAAAAGAGCTTTAGAGCTCATTTTCCCACCTCCTCAATGTGCAAACAAGGAAACTGATGGGGGTGGGGTTTTGTGCCTGGTTTCGAGGTCAAGATCACACCTAGGTGTCCTGTCCC